CTCACGCCATTCGAGGTGGTCCGATACTAGGAAAAATGGTCTAAAGAATCTCGATAGTAGTTCCATGAACAATCATTTGCGGTATTTTATAAAAAAAATAAAATACCGCAAAGGATTGTTCATGGAACTACTATCTTCTTGGAAAACAAAGAAGTATGATAAGAGCCCCGGTATAAAAAAAGAAAATATTCCATCAAATTCATTAAAAATAAAAAAAGTTTGTTCAGTTTTATAGTAAGGGCCCTTAAACTTCAAAAAAATGATTAATTCCCTCGCGCTAAGAGMGATGGGATCCTTGTTTGATCTTATTAATATCGAAAGATCCCTGTACGCCAATTCTTTCGAGCGAACTCCCGAACTACCGTCCTCATCCTTAGAAAGGGTTTTGCTGGAACTCCATCCTTTTGAAGATTTTACTTTGAGAAGATAGCTTTCCTTTGAAACTCGCGTAGACTCAAAAGAAGGGAGAGGAGCAGAAGCTTTCTCTTCTATTGTATTCAAAACAATGTTACTGCATGGATCAGAATTCGAAATTCCCCCATTTTCATCCAAACAATAACCAACTACCACTTCTAGTTTCGGGTCCGCAACCAGAAATTTACGCAAACCGGATTTGGTCATGGCTCGCAGGTAGGTCGCCCCGGCATTCTTTAGACCAAACGGCATCACCGTAGGGGGTGCAGGTTCCTTCATTAAAGAATTGCTTGAACCCTTGGCTTACCATTTCTTAGTTGGCTCCTTCCAACATAGAAAAGCTATATCGTCAACCCCATCAATTGGTATCAGTGCGGCGTTTACGTTCTAAATTTTTATGATCAAAATCATGCTTTTTGGTGGGTATTTCTGTTTTTTCGAAACATGGGTATTGTGGGTTGGATGTTTGCAAATTTTGACATATAGATAGCGTTTTTCTTCTTGATTCGATCATATAAAGGCTTGTTGTTTTAGGCATTCTGTTTCTGTATCGAGTCTGTAAGTCTGGGTCGCTTGAAAGTTGTTCTTGGCATCGGATTGGACGAATTTTTGCAAAAAACAGCGAAGAAGACGAAGTAGGTCGCCTTAATAGCGCTATAGCATTTGCAGCAACGCCACGGTGTTGCACTGTAGCTTCATGGCACTGTGCTGCAGCACCATGGCGCTGCATCTGCGGGTGTTTGCTGCAGCAGCACCGTGGCACTGCCCTTGGACGTCGTGATGCTGTCCTGGTGTTTCTGTCGTTCCGATTCACGATTCGAGTGTTGTTTCGGGCTTTTTCCTCGATTTTTTTATTATTTATTTATTTTGCTTTCTTAGGATGCCAAAATTCAGTCCAATTTTGCTTATTTAATTATTTTATGCATTTTGAATGTATATTTTAATTAAATGTATATTGCATAATGTATGTCATATAGTTTTAAAATCCCACCATAGGATACATGCATCATATGTATATTTGATATATAGTATGCATGCATAATCATGCATCATATGTATATAATAGTTATAATGTATGATAGCATGTTTTATTTTCATAATTGATTAATATAAATGTTGTATTAATTAGATGAAAATAAAGTTGCATTGAGCATGACATTACTTTAGTTAATATAATTGTTATATTAATGTATGTTGTCAATGCATGATCATAGGTCTAATTTCTTCAATTTTATAAGAGATAAAATTTTGGTAGATAGAAATTAAAATCTATAATAAAGAGTTGCATGCAGACCCCATAGGGTCTAAGTTAATTAATTTTAAAAAGGGTTTAAAATTAATTAGACCTTAGGTTATATCTTCTAATATGATTAGGGGGTAGTATTTTATCTTTTTTTAACTGGTTTAAAATGAAATAATAAAAGACTAAATATAAAATATTGTTCATAAAAGAACCCTGTCTAAGGAAGGTTTTGTCTAGGCTGAGGTATTTAAGCTGACTGTAAAGGAACATCTCTACTTGGGATCCGACTTGGGGGTTGAATTAGTCAATATTTTATATAGATGCCATAATGTCATTAGTTTATTAAAACGTTTGATAAACTAAAACATTAATGTACAACTTCCAATATAAATATATATATTGGGCCAACTAAAAATTCTGTTATTACTTTGTTAGCTGCTAAAAAACTTAACGGCAAGAATTACAAATAATGAAAATCGAACCTTAATACTATACTAATGATAGATGATCTTAGGTTCGTCTTGCAAGAGGATTGTTCTCAAGCTCTATGCCTAACGCCACAGTGGCGGTGCGCACTGTCTATGACAGATGAATAAAGGCCAATAACAAGGCCAAGGTCAGATCTTGGCGAGCATATCTGATGTGCTTGCTAAAGCACGAGGACACGGTCACCGCTAAGGAGATCATGGACTCACCGCAGAACATTAAAAAATGAAAAAAAAACACATGATGCCAGCAAGGTGCCATGTAACTTGGAGACTGTGAAGTGGCATAGAGACGACCAATAATTTTCCAAGCATTATTCTAGGAAATAGTTTGGAGGTTGGTATATATTTTGAATAATTTTAGTGTAGAGGTGGCATTGCGATGGGCTTGGACGTCACTTCTTCATTTCTCGGAACTAAAGCGTTATTAAAAAAATCCAGAATATGTACTTTAAACATTAGAATTGGAATAAAATAATAGTTAGTTACAAATTTGGTCTAATTTCAATAGTTTTAAAAAATTCAACCATGGTTTCAAATTGGTTTATAGAATTTAAAAGTTTAAATTTTTAAACTTAGTTAAAAAAATCAATAATGTATTAAGATTCAAGCTTCTAACTTCAAATTAATGGGTGTATATATTAATTATTGAGC